ATTACACATGATTTCTTTAATTATTTATAATTGATTACTTCTATTTGTATTTTTATTGAAGCATAAAAGAGTTGACCGAGGCGCGAATGTCACGTGATTGCTGTCTGCTAATCAAAATGCAGTTATCCGTATAAAAAATATAATTAATATAAAATAATGTATTTCGGGACTCTTAAACATATTAAAGAATTGAATGCTTTTTTTTGTAAATTTATTGGGATGTAAAAGCGTTGACCGAAGTACATTCAAAAAATGTGCGCACGGTCAACGCTTTTACAACCCTATAAAATCACTAATAGAAGTATTCAATACTTATAATAACATTTCTTTTCTAGGATCATGAAAACACGATTTCTATCAACTTTTTCTTTTATTTACCTGTGCACTTTATTGTGGAAGCTCGTGTCATCATGAATGTTACGTTTCATTTTGAAATGAAGGTTAATTTCAGAATATCGCGAGATTGCTTTTAGCCAATCAAAATAACGTATTATAACGAAACATACATGTAATATAATTATTGATCTTTGAATATATAAGTAACTGAAATAGTCCATGCTTCTATCTTATTCTCTTAAGATACGAAAATACTAAGATACGAAAATACGGATAACAAAATGAAACTTAGAAAAAGACTCAATACCAAACTCGTTCAAAGGGTATCTATACGTCTCAATCTTCAAAATCGCTTATCTAAAAATACCACAATCGCTCACATTTTTAATAATAAAAATCGTGGTTACCCTTCTATCTATAAGTGTCAGCCAAAACATGACTCACATGTCCTCGTCTTTCCACCAACAATACGATAAGGTCCACGTTTAATGGTCGCACATTTTCCTTAAATTTTACAACTAATATCAATTGAAAAACTAACATTATCTATTTACTTACAAAACCTTTACTTACTTAGAAACAAACCGGGATGCGGTATTCAGTATGTAGGTGAAACCGGACGCTATTTATTTAAACGCAAGCAAGAACACCTTTATCGTTTTAAAAGACCCCATAAATTTAAAAGTATCATCTAAGCACAATCATTCTATTAAATATTTATCAGTTCAACCTTTAGAAGTAGTAAATAAGCAACCTTGGGAATCTCATTCAAAATTTGTACGATCACGGAAAATTGAATTAAATTGGATTAAAAAATTACAGACAGTCTATCCTCTAGGTCTTAATGATAATATCATGGGAATTGGTAATGTATCAAGAACTGATTCTGTTAACATTTTGGATTTAGTTTCTAAAACTGTTTGTAAAAACCGTCCTCATGGACGTAAAATAAATCGCAATCAGGGAAAATTTCATACGAAATATACAAATATTTCGGACTTATTACTATTTCAAAAAACAACGGCAGACATTATCTGTTAACCAAGTTCTGTTCTTTACCAGTAAATAAATTACATCAAATTTTGGAGGATTGCAACACAATTCCATATTGCAGTCCTAAGTATGAAATCGTCCAAATTATAATTGCATATTGTTATTCTAAACTGTTTCTCAAATTTGATCGCCATGAAGACCATAAAAAACATTTCATTAAAAACAAATATGTCAATAAAGGTTTTGTTTTTGTAAATATGCCGATATTTTTAATGATCATTTCGTAAAGGAACAAATTCCTGGTTATGTTGATAATACTGAGCGCCCTCTAAATTGTTATGTTGACAAAAAATCTACCCGGAAATATGTGTTTAATTATAGCGAGGTGTGTAAAGATGTTAATATCAGTGACATTACACCTACGTCATGAAATTGTAGTAATTCCAAATACATTTAAGTCCCCAGTTCCCATGTTATAACAGGAGACCTTAACATCGTCCAGGACCGTGAGTTGAAATCTTTTCTTAGTAAAGGACCTAAATATCACCCCCCCCCGTCAATAATTAATTGGAATGAGTGTCGTAAAATCATCCACGACTCATCCCGTACTTACTGTATGAAATGGGTAAAACGAGAAAAAGCTGACAAAAAATCCGTAGATTTTTTTTTAATTCAGTAATGAACATAGTTGAGATTCGTATTAAACATTTTAAAGAACATTTTACTCCTAACAACAAACATAATAGCCCTATTTCTCGTATCACACATAAGCTAAAAGAACTCGCCAAGGAATTTAATTTTGTCCCGGCTGATAAGGCTGCTAATAATATCATTATTGTTTCACGTAAATTCTATATTGAGGTTCTGCAAAAATAAATCACGAATTCACCAACATTCCAACTGACTCTATTTTCGGAAAATGATATATGTAACAAACATAAACTTTAAGCTACCGCTTTACAAGCAGAACCGAATATCATGAAAGTTCCAACTATGTACTGGCTTCCGAAGCTGCACAAAACACCTTACAAATATAGATTTGTTTCGTCTTCAAGCCATTGTTCAACTACTAAACTGTCTGTTCTACTTACTAGTACACTTGGTACAATCAAACACCTGGTAATAGATTGTTTAAATAATGTCATTAAGAAAAAAATCACATACCTAATTAAATGGGCATTTAAAAAGTCGGAGTGCGAATATATATGTTCAAACTCTTTTGGGTCATTTTTTTAGTAACAGCAAACAAAAGAACTGTGTCAATTGGACCTGCTTTGATACGATAACTGCCTCGAATTTTTACTAGATTACATTTTTGTTCGCTATGGAGATTCCGTATATCGTCAAGTTATCGGAAGTCCAATGGGGACTAACTGTGCATCACTTATTGCGGACCTGTTTCTTTATTGTTACGAGTTACAATTTATGACTAAAATCAGCAAAGACCCATCGAAACAACATCTGATTCAAATATTTAATAACACTTTTAGATATTTGGATGATATATTGGCTCTCAATAATGACGACTTCAGTATGTACACTTAGGAGATTTATCCTGCTGAACTGACTTTAGATAAAGCTAATACTAACAATGAATACTGTCCTTTCCTGGATCTTGATATCTATATCGTTATTGGGATCGTATTTGATTTTAACGAAAGAAATCTCGGTAGTACTGAAAAATTATTACACCAGTGTTTTTCGATACAAGAACATCATTCGTAAATATAAATCAATGTGCAGACATCTTATACGTTCATGTATTTAACATCCATCTTTTATGGTAATATTCTATACAAAGCACAAACATGTCGTCATTCACCTCAAAAGCTAAACAAATCTTTAAACAGACTTATTCAGAAGGGGTATAGTTACGATACTGTTGTCAAGTTATTAAAGATGGCATTTTTTGGAATTAATATTGATTCACTCATAGCAATCTGATTAAAATTCGGACCTATATACTCGCGTGCTCGTACATATGAGTACAACGAAATCAGAAAACTATATTTTAATTAGATTGCACTCATAGGGTCTGTGCGTCGGAAATAAACACATTTATTCTAAAACCAGTTATTGGCAAGATACGGGTCATGTTCTTCTCGTATATTTTATGATGGTATGATACTAAATCCGTTACGGGAGGGATTGTGCTTGATTTTCATATGATGAAGACATAATCTTTCAATCATTTTATTTGAGGTCTGGAGCTGGCATGCCAGTAACTGCTAGTAGTCCTTTGTTAATTTATATTCATCATTGTCATTTTGCTTAGTTTCTTCTGTTACCTTATCTAACACCGGACTCGGACTTCTTTTAAACTGAATTTTACTGTGCGTATCGCTGTGTGTTTTTTTTTATTTCACATTGGCTAGAGGTATAGGGGGAGGGTTGAGATCTCACAAAACATGTTTAAGCCCGCCGCATTTTTGCGCCTGTCCCAAGCCAGGAAACTCTGGCCTTTGTTAGTGTTGTATGTTTTTTTTTAAATTTTGGTTCATTTATGTTTAGAAATTTAGTATGACGTCCATTTTCTCTGAACTAGTATACATTATTTTAAGGTGCCAGCTGAAGCCCGCCTCCGGGTGAGGGATTTTCTTGCTGTGTTGAAGACCCATTGGTGGACTTCGGCTGTATTCTGCTCCTTGGTCGGGTTGTTGTCTCTTTGGCACATTCCCCGTTTCCATTCTCAAATGTATTCTCTCTTATCATTCTCTGAAGATAAACTTTTTTGTAGCATATTCAAGTCAAATCGAATTCTCACAACAACCCTACAATCCTACAGTCACTAGATTGAAAATATTTATAAAAGAAACATCATTGGTTGCAAAAATGATTATCCATGAAAATAAATTGTCAACAATAGTTATAATCGAATTTTTTTCTTCAGTATTTTGTCTTGAATATTTACGATTCAAATATATTATATGTATTCAATATTATGTGTTATTTCAACGCAATAGAAGTAGTTTACCTGCTCGACAAGTATTAAAAAGTGATATTGTGATCATGTATATTGTAGTTAATATTATGTTTATGGATTAATGTAATTTTTTAATTTTGTAAATTAATCTGTATACTGAATTCAAATGGCTTTAGGAATAATTGGTTGGACGTTCATCTTGCTTACTATATGAATAAATTGTGACCGCACATTACAGTACCTATCATCTTATTGGACGTCGTATTTGGTATGATCTTTCATCTGTTTTGGTTCGAGCGCCAGAAATGTGTCTTATGTTTATTTTCTGTGACTTTACTGTTTAAAGAATGCTGAATTATTCGAAACACTTAGGGTTTTCTACCCTTATAGATATATAACCTTAGCCGTATTTGATAAAACCTATCGAAATCCTTTTTTTTTTCATGCTCTGTAACTTCCTATATTTGATTTCGCCGTTTGGTTAGAGCGCAAATGACGAGTCTTGCGAACACGAAACACGCGTCTGGTTCAAATTATAAGCCTAGTATTTTGATAAGTTTTTATTTCTGTCTTGTGTGAATACATAAACAGTTCAGGTGCAAACATAACTGAATATGTTCAGTCATATGCCGTGATTAAAATTATAATGTTTAGCACATACAGTTGTTTTCCCCCGGTTGAATGACACAGGGCAATATATATTGCACCTTGAAATTGATTTTTCCAATTCTATATATAGAAAATGTAGACATAAATCAATGCGCAACATGTATGCGTATGAAATATTTGAAAATGTGCGCCATTCCTAACGCAACATGAAGGTAAATTTTGATGTGTTTAGCATTTTAAAATTTATTAGTTCTTTTGATTTCAAACGCCCTGACATTAAACGAAACAGGGCAAAACACATGAAAGTTATTGTATGTTTCTTTCCTAGTACATTTAGTAATGATATGTAATCTGTCAATAATCTTTTACTTACACAAAGAATGGCGCGTTTTATTTTCATTGATCAAAATTTTGTATCATAATAAAATAAATTATAATCACACAAAATGTCCAAATTGCAAAGATAACTTTTCATGTCATGTTTTGCATGTACTAGCACACTTATTTGGTATTTACACACTTCATATGACTTAATCATATTTTGTGTGTTTTATTATCAAGGAAGTGAATTTTGTCAGTATAAATCTATATTGATTTCACGAATTTGAACGTTTTATGAGAAATCAAAAATAACTCTTCGATACTAAATGCTTTTATCGGGTTTTTTTTTAAATGCGTCTTGGATTATAATATATGAGCCCTGGTATCTTTGTTGTGTTGACCACTAGATCGATGCAACTGCTGGTGAAGGTTTCGTCGCGTTGGTATCACTTGTTTGGTAGTAAGCACTTCTATGTTGACACGAAATATCAATGATACGTTCATTTTCCGTAAGCTTTCTGTTATTCGATTTCAATTTATTTTCTACCCCAGACATCGATGACCTTAGCCGTACTTTGTGTCAACCTCGTGTATGATATGGCCTTCCTTCTGTTTTGATTCCAGCGCCACCCACCGACAATTCTATTGTAGACGAAACGTGCGTTTTTCGTAAACAATAATAAGGATCTTCGAACATAAAATTACGAGAAAGTACAAATTGAATCATAGACATAATTGCGAATGCTTGTGGCATTTTTGTTTTAATTCAAACCCTCTGTCGAATTTAAAATCAGGGGATTTTGTATGATTGCCGATGAGATAACTATCCATCAGAGTTTAAATAACGTGGATTTACATTCGAATAATTTCTTATATGATTCATACGTAGTGGATTTTGACACACAATTGCAGGACATCTATTAAACGTATTTTATTTTGAATTTGTATATGAATAAACGTTTGCGGGTTCTCTTTAAATACTCGTGACATATGTTATTTTTTTTATCCAAATGATTAACGTTTCGCTCATTCCTTGTATTTAACAAACTCATGGTTTGCTGTAAATTTGAAAATGAATTAAACTGTGTTTTTTCTTGATTTTTGTGGATACGGAAGGAATTCGATTATTGTTTTGTGCCTATATGTTTGAATTAGTACAGTTGTACATGTTATGCCTAAATACTTTTTAGTTGTGTCATTCATTTCAAGTTTTTGAACATATTGATTCTATACAATATAGGAAAAGAACCAAATTGATCCGATAATTGCTAGGCATCAAATTGGCTGATTCAGTGACAAAAAAGGAAGAATACAAATTTATTCGGCATTATGCAGTATTTGCCAATATTCTGCCCCGTACATTTTTCAAAGACACACAAAAAAAATTTAAATAATTTTCTAGATTTTCAGTAGCTCAATCGGTGATTTCAAGGCTATTGCGATGCCAGCTGTTTGAAAGTGGAATTAACAGGACCTTGTTATGATATGGATAGGTTGAACTGATAGTACCAAACCTTCCGAATTCCGTGGTAGGGGATAAAGCCAATATTTAAGATTACGCAAGGCATTCAATTTGAATATATTTCATACTTTTTAACTGTTTTTAACCAGTTCTGCATTTACAGCTTTCCCTTCTTGTTCAACGTATTAGAACGGCCTTTATTTAACTCTTTCAAATCTTGGGTATTCTTGCTATAATCCCAGTCATACGGTCTTAATTTAGCTATTTGGTTATTGCAAAAAGGACGTTCAGGCGTTGTCTGCGATTAATTCATTTACATATATAAGTTTTCTCTTATCATTTTTCATGCAAATAAAGCCTTAATTAAAATATAAAAATGTATTAGGTCTTGATACCATTCTCTGTTATCATCACCGTTGTGAAAACGATGCATGGTAAGCAAAGTTGACATGGTAACTTTGATAACTATGTTAAGGGGGAAAGGCACAAACAACCCTTAAAAATAAGGTATTTATTATGTTATCACTTGCATGTCTTTATATTGTGTCAATATTACATTTCAATAAAATATAACAGATTAAAGGGTTTGTTTGTTGTGTATAATTTTTGTATTTTCACATTTTCACACTTAGATGACGATGCCATAAAATTTGACATCAACTTTACATAGAAGATTAAAAAAAATCTTACCTTTCACAATTTATTATAAATATGCACTTACATGTACCATGTTAGAAATATGAATACTAATAAATTGTCAAATGAATTACATAACGTTAACATGTGTATAAACAGGTAAAATTTACATAACAAATATAGTACATATCTTTTTAAATCTAGAATAAAGTTCGGGTAAATAAACTGATGGCAGATTTTTAGGAAATCGAGGTGGAAGTTGATAAAGAAAAAAAGGCCATTGAAATCCACCAAGGTATGTAGATAATGGTATTTTGCAGTTATTAGTGATTAGTCATGCATGCTTTTATTACTCTAAATGAACACAATTTTGAAAAAGTTGAAGTGTTCAATACAAATATAATTACTTTCGTTTTGACATTTTACTGTTTCAAGAATCTTCATTGCGGTTTTACTCACTTTGAGTGTCTGAGCAGAAAGTGTAGCAGGGTTATGTCAAAGAACGTCTCGTCCTTTTTCTAAAAAAGTTCGTCGGAAGATACTAAGACCTTGTTGATGAATATTCCGTATCAACTTCACAAATAATACATGATGGTCTTAATGTATAGATTCAAGGTACTGACGTTGTTTATCATCTTAATTACGTGTTATAGTGTTCTTTTATTTGTCTTTGTAAATTATTAACCTTTACTGTTTGGTCCATTTTTGGAAATATCCGTTTGGCGTGACTCGGGACTTATACATCCCGCCATTGCGTTATTGTGATAAAGTCATTTTTTGTATTCTTATATTTCATTTTTTCGTATGTGCTTTGGCTATATACCATTTTGACATATTTGTTTGTTTTTATAGTGATTAAGATTATAACACAATGTTGACTGCTGTACCTCTATTTTTGACATTTCTACCTATTATGTCTGTTTGTTTTGTTCACATATTGTTGTCAATATAATTGAATTTTATGCGACTGGCATACAAGTGAGAGGTTTAGCTAGCTTTAAAAACAGGGTTAATCCACCATTTTCTACATAAGGAAATACCTGTACCAAGTCAGGAATATTACTCTAAATGAACACAATTGTTTTCCATTCGTTTGCTGTGGTTTTAATTTTGCCAATTGTTAAGGGACTTTCCGTTTTGAATTTTCCTTGGAGTTCGGTATTTCTGTTGTTTATTTTTTTTTGGAACTTCACCTTATCTGTGTCATGATGATCAAAATACGTTAGATTAGTCGTTACCTCAGTCACGTTCTATTTAACTTCTCTGTGCTGCTAAACCACGAAATCCAAGTGGTGAAGTTGAAATCATCCCTTTGTAAATTTTACTTGCCATCACGAGTTAGTTGATAGTTATAGAATATCTGTTTCACAGATGACGACGGATATTTTTTTTTCCAATTGTCGTAACTACAATCCCCTTCCCTTTTCCCGAATGTGACCTACCGAATTAGATTTATCACCGGTGGTGTACTTACATGAGCAACACGACGGGTGCCACATGAGGCGCAGGATCTGCTTACCCTTTCGGAGCACATGGGATCACCCTCAGTTTTTGGTCGGGTTAGAGTTGCTCAGTCTTTAGTTTTCTATGTTGTGTTTTGTGTACTGTTGCCGGTTTGTTGGTCTTTTTCTATTATAGCCACGGCATTGTCAGTTTATATTCACTTATGAGTGACAGAAAAACCTTGATGTTTCGAGTAATTCAAAGCTTTACAGAAATTAAATATTGTTATTTCATGTCAACACAAAAGTAGTGACCAATGGGTGGTGATTTCTTCAGGTTCGAAACGTTAAAATGCAATGGCATCGATCGAGTGGTTGTAAAATGTGATGAAAAATACAGGCTTATAATTTGCTACGCCAAACGATCGTCTCGTCTATATGAGACTGATCAGTGAAACTCGAATCAAAACAGATGAAAGTCCATCATGTCCATATCAGAAATCAATTCTAAAATTGACAAAAAGAGAGTGAAAATAATTGGAATCATATGAAATATAAACGAAATGAGGCCAGGTTGTTCGATAGGAAACACAGCTCCACGTGAGCAGTTCCTGCTACGCTTACATTATCCGTCACATGATTCGAAAGTCGCACCCAACAGTATGTTTTAAAATAAGCAAAATGAAAATATTAGTATTAACATTAAATTGACATCAGTGGTCATGTATGGTCTTCAATAGAGTTAACATTAAATTCAGAAAAGCTCTTCGGAAGCACGAAATTATTAAAGCGTTATTTTTATTTACTAGTCCTAGGTCGATATCCCTGCTGGTAGACTGCTAGTCACCAAGGGTATCATCAACTCAGTAGACAGTGCGTTGTTGCTGACATAATTTTCACAATCTTTTCCTAATTCTCCGTTGATAAATTAAGTAATTATTTAGAAACTAACACTACAACTCCTTCAGACAAAGTATACTTTAGATGATGTTTGCTATTTTATGTCCCTTTTGGTGATATAGATCGTTGCGTGTTTAGAACATATACAATATTGTGTTTCGAATTTTTGGGTTTGAGCGTTCCTCATAAATGTAAATCCGCAAAAGCGCTTCAGACGCACGAAATTGATATAGTGATATTTCATTAAAAAGTCACTTGAAACAATGTTATCATAATGATTAGCCAATTCATGATTGTTAACAGTGAAATAAACGATTTTCACTTTCATTTTGTATGACACGAGTTTCTGGGTTAACATAAATAAGGTATGCCGAAACCACATCACTTGAGAAGCTTCAAATCGGAAACGTATGAGATAATGAAAACGAAAGCGCCTAAAAACCAAACGGCTGATGTAAATCAGTGCAAAACTCACTGACGTTTCCTCATTCTTTACGTATTGTCGAGTACGCCATGTTTACCTTAATTGTATTGTTCTGCATAATGTTGTTTTTTAAATTAAATTAATAATGCAGTTAATTTTACAGGTTGTGAATTAAAGCAATGAAACGATCCTTTAGAGCGGTGCTTCGGACACTAAGAAGTTATTTGGTAAAAAATCTTCATGTGAATGACGAGGTTGTTGATGAATTGCTTTCATCTCTAGCATTAAACGAAACAGACGCTGAGATAATTGATCACGAAAAAAGTAACAGGGATAAAATAAAACGAATAATTCTTGCTTTATCGCCAAAAGATGATACAACTTATCACGCTTTTAAAGAATGTTTGAAGAAAACCAAGAACAATCATGTTCTCAAGAAAATAGAGGAAACAGAATCTGTCTGCACTTCAGGTTATTCAAATATTCAAGGAGTATTTTTCAGTCCAATTAACCCTTATGTGACGATTTTACAGAGTTTTGTCAGAATTTCCAAAATGAAAATCGACATAATAGTTCATTTAACTGTAAGAGTTTAATGACCCATTCATTAAAATCCTTGAAACGGTGCATAATTGTATTTTAACACACGTAACAAATCTTAAATAAACGTTAGAATAATACCGCTCCAAAAACAGTTCATATTGCTTTGTTTGAAATCAGTATGGTGTTGCTAGATATATCAATTCTTTCAAAGGATGCAAAATTACTATAGCGTCAAAGCAAAGTCATGCTCCTTAATGCCAAATTTCGCGTCACGTCGTTGTGCAGTAAATCCATTGTATGTTGTATTGTTTGATGTTTTTACTACAACCATAGTAATGAATTGGTAAAAACTTCTTTTTGGCCTATAATTTAAAATTTCTATTAACTTTCAAAAATAAATTCATGAAGAATACAATTTTAGATTTTCTTAATGCGTTTTAACTCGGAGTTGAATATTTAAATCCCATTTGGCTATTTATGTTGGAAAATAGTCACAAAATTTCTCGAAATAAAAAAAAGGCACGGTAATGTTTCTTTATTTTGTGATATCTTATAATTTTCCTCTTACTGGGGTTCGTGTTGCTTAGTCTTTAGTTTTCTATGTTGTGTTTTGTGTACTATTGTTTGTCTGTTTGTCTTTTTCTTTTTTAGCCATGGCGTTGTCAGTTTATTTTCGATGTATGAGTTTGAATGTCCCTCTGGTATCTTTCGCCCCTCTTTTACTGTATACAACATACATCAAAATAGTAAAACGAAGACAGTGTTAATCTAATGCTGACTACGAGTTTCAATAATGAGGAAAAAACCTAAACCTTTGTAAAAACTTTATGTGACGAAAGTCATATTTTTAAACGTTGTTCCCTAATCAATCAAAATGTTATCAATTATAAGTATAAACTTCATTGCAGAAGTCGCAGAACATACCGAAGCAACAAAACAAATCTTACTCGAGTATTTCAAAGCTGATACCACAGAGACTTTTATATCTCTTTATGAAATACAGGACATTTTGTTAAGTGATCAGACTTCAAGATGTCATGAGGAATTTGTCGATGATGTCCTTGAAACGGAATGGCTTACTGACATAGTCAGATCTTTGTTTCCCGAATCTCAAGAAGGCATCGTTTCTACAAGTAGTCGCAGGTAAGATGAAAATAAACAAAGCAGACAATTCCTTGACACCGGCATTAGGAAATATATTTTTCTCGACGTATATCGATAAGCGCATATTACGTATTATAGAAACAATGAATAAGCGTTGATTCTTGAAAAGGAAGCCATGAGCCCGAAGGGCAAATGGTTTGTTTTTCGTGAATCAACGCGTATCCATTGTATCTATAACTTAAACTATTGTGTTGATGTCTTTTCAAAATAAATGCCTTTCTTAATCAGAAGGTATTGTGAGTGAGTTTAGATAACCATGTTATCATGTTCAACGATGCATTAATAAATCAAGTTCACAATTAATTGGTTAGAGAAATACAAATATAACATAACACGTCTGTCTTTAAATTATCAGGCATCTGAATATTATCCGTAATTTACAAAATAAGACATATTCGAACTTATTTCTAAGTATATATAATAAGTATGTTACCGAAATTTCTAGCATGAAGCTTAATTCTAGGCACATCACGATTTACTCGCATAGGGATTTGCGAATAAACATTTGTAAAATTATGTAGTAAAACAGATGAAATCATATCATATTTATAAAACAAAAATGGACAAATTGAATGTAATAATTTTCGTTTCAAATATGTGAAATAGCCAATAATAATCCAAAAATAAACGGGAAAACCCGCTATTATTCCAAAAATATCCACAATAACATGCAAAATAAGAAAAAGGGAAAAACTAAAGAATAGGGACAACAAAGAGAATACAGCGATTCGAAACTAAACAGACAAGGTTCTACCTTTAACTTGACTATTTAACCCATTGATCTTAACCATGCTAACCTCGCGGCTACCAACTTATTAAATACCATTGCCTATTATGTATATATAAAGGTACAAGACCTGTGTGTCCATTGTACCGATGTGTATCATATGTTCATTAATATATATATATACATAATAGACATCTAAATTGCAACCCATTGGTAGCCGAGAGGTTTCGTCGATGTGTTGATGCCAGTCATACATAAAAGATTTCAAGGAGGTTCGATTCCCAGTGAAGGTATATAAAAATTACAAAAATCAAAGGTAAAGTTTTAAATTAATTCCATTAGTGAACAGAAATCAGTAAATTAGCCAATTCAAACTTAATGAAATAAGGCACACAAAGGAAACAATTGAATATAATTTGGTGTGACCATTTCGGCGACAGATTTAGGAAGCGTTGTTTCTAGAAAAAGAATCCACGGTAAATGAATAGACTGACGTCACGACAATGGTTTAACACAATTTCTCCTATTACTAAATGTAGATTTTCCCCCAAGACGTCACATTTTAACAATCAACTAGTAAATTAAGGACTTTTTCTAATCAATGTACTAATAAACCGACAGAAAAGGAAATTTTACGTATATTTTACTGTCAACGGGTATTTTATTTCAAATTAGTCATGCAGTAATTGTTTTCCTATTTGTAATTGCAGCAAATAATGAAATGATAATACAATTTATTATCTAAACAATCTTGATCCTTCTGTTGGAATTTAAAATAATTGTGCCAAATCTGGCTAAGGCCATCTGCGCCAGGAGTTTATGATGTCAAATAAGGCAAACTACTATTTTTGGTGGTGTCATTTGTTGGTATTTGACGTAGTATGGTGTTATGTCCATTATTATGGTAATTCCTGTTTTTTTTGTTAATGTATTATTAGACAAAAGGACATTTTAGAAACATCTAAAATCCTTATTTAGGCCAGCATTGACAACCTCGTACACTCAATTAAAGTCATGTCATACTTCAAATTAAAACAAAATGAATATGTTTTGTATTCTTGAATGGCTAAGTTTTACTTTAAAAGAAGTGAACATGGACTTTCTTGTAAAAGGTTCCTCTATCTTATTAAAATATTCAGAAATGTACTGCTATCAAATAACGGTCTTCCCGTACTCTAATTCGCTGACATATTTCCGAACGCAGTGACCTTAACTACGAGGCATCTCGTTAGAACTTTTGCCATCTCACATCGCAAGTGCGACGGGAAAACCGTGATGACACAATGTAAACAACGTTGACTAGAAGGTAATTAGTAATAACAGAGTCTTAAAGAACACATTCAATGCTCCACATTTAACAACTGTTATGTAAAATTTAACCAAAGGGAAATCATGGAAAATACCAAAAACATCGCTCTATCAATTCACTTATTTTTCACGTGCTCCATGATTCTGTGTTGATTGTTTATCAATGTCACGATTCTGTAAACTTCGGCAACAAACTCGATAGTTAATTAGCTTGCGATCAACAACCACTGAATGAAATATTATGTGTCGACATAATGGATTCATAGTAAATGTAAAAATCGTGAATATAGGACTAAGTATAGTAATATGCATTTACTGGGTTAATAATTTCCTTTACATTATAATTACAAGAAACTCGTTTCATGTGACTTTAACAATTTCGCAAAATGCCCTTTATTAATGGTTTATCAGTCCTGATTTGTAAAAAATATTTAAATAACTCATTGTATTTTTATTAAAAGGAGTAAAAAGAAAAAGGGAAGAAAAAGAAATAAAAGTTCCACAACCAAGACAGAATTTGGTTTTTATGGAATAGGATTCCTTTGTGGACCTGATGAAGAATATGCCAGGCAGAGACAAGAGTCAGAATCAAGCCAGTTCAGTGACACGGAGAAAGATTATGGTAAATAACATACAATTAAAGTGAGGTATATGTTAGCCCGTCACACATTTATCTAAAGAGTGCCTACATTCCACAATGCTAGTTATTTGTGTTTACTATATAACTAGAACTATTAGAAAAAATCAATGTGTGTCTGCTTCATTTTTTTTCTTCTACTTCATTATGGATTTTCCCTAGCAGCTTTTTTGATTTTATGACTACTTATAAGTGTTATGTAGACAACATATGCGTTAAGGCTTACTAAATTATATGCCTGGTATCTTTGATGACTTTGTTTACTTGCACGACGTGTTGGATATGGCAGAAATGATATTTGCTCATAACAAATTGATTACTTATGCAACAACATTTGCATTAATGTAATGAGTTTTTTCCCGTACACTATCCTTTTTTCTGAATGATCTTTTATGCTAATTGGTATGGTAATGTTTATCTTTAAAGGTTGAAAAAACAGATATATTATATAACAGTGCCTGTATCGCTCCCTGGTGGAAAAATTGCCAGTTTGCTTTTAAATGCACAAACTATATGGTGATGATTATCTTTGCTATTTGCATGAATAACCGTGCTCCTTTAGGTTTTAAAGATAATAGCAAAAACTGCAAAAGACAGTAAAAATAGAGATATTTCAAGGGCAATAAATCCTAAACTTGTTGGTAAATACATCTGGTTATGCTGATCATTTTTGCAATCTACATTGTCAACCTTGCTCCTATAATTTTTGAAATAATGACAAGAAAATGCCAAACAAGGCCAATAACTATAAGAAGTCGATTGTCAACTTCGGTAAAGTTTATTTATTTGAAGGAGTTAGTTTGCTTAACATCTTTGTCATTAAAAGTTTATATGCATCTATAATAGTTTCTGCAAAAAACTTCAAAATTTGATAAAATTGTCCTTCAAAAATATAACTCCTATAAGGGATCAATTAACAATTTCGGTCAGTTTGACTAATTTGTAGATTTTAACTTACTGAACATATTTGCTGTTTAAAATCTCATCTTTTAACAGTTTTCAAGATAATAAACAAAAAACAGAACAATTTAGCAAATGTATTATTTCAGGAACAATAATTTCAAAAAGGAATGTTGGATTGTCTGAAAATTTCATGACAGACAAATCTTACAATGCTTATCAGTGTTGCTTAAACGGCTTAAGTTTTTTTAGATGTAAGCCAAAATTTACCCCTATGTTCTATGTTTAGCTCTCATAAAAAAAATTTGATCAACACATATATTCAAATTGATAAGTGACGGGCGACATTAGATACCAGGAACACGCCAGTTTTGTTTGATAGCGTATAAACGATTTTAAATGATGACAGTAGAACTTTTGAAGTTATGATGTCAGTCGGTCTGGTTTAAGTCTGTTATGTGAAATTGGTAGTAAATCCGATAATTCACTGGTACCAATGTGAGAATCTGTAAATACTTGTTTTTCTCAAACTTTGGACCAAGATAATGTTTCCTATTTCCTGTAGCACAACTGTAAACATGCTCAGGTGGGAAGTTCAAAATCTAAAGATATCTTGTAGTCTAATGGAAAGGGATATGATCAAACTGCTCTATAACAAATACGAACGCTTTTTGTCAGTAAAATATTTTTTTTAATTGTTTCTTTAATGATTACTTTTATGGGATTAAACATAGTACCTATATTTTTGTCATAAACACTCTAAACGATCATAGACTTGTGTATTGCTTTTAAATGTCTTAGCAAAGTTTGTTTTTAACTCTAGAAATTGTTTAACATGTTTAAGGAGGAAGATTATAACAGTGTTTGAGTAGAAAACGTTTGTAAATAATAATATAATTATTTGTTTATCTATAGATGAATGCACGAACTACGCTAAACCAAAGTTGATTGATTTATCAGTTCATGAATTTTATCTCTGGTTGAAACAAGTATTGGAAAATCATTGCAATGATTCAAATGCAGCCGAGAAATTTAAGGATGATGATATTGATGGATCAGTTTTTAACGAAATATCCGATGCTGAACTTCGGGAGTATCTTCCAAAACTTGGTCAGCGTAAAAAGGTACAAATGATGTGGGCAGAATATATAGCAAATAAAACAGATCTGGAAGGGAACACTGTAGCAGATAGGACAAATACAGGATGCAAGGCACCCGACGGGAAAAACATAACTCAGTCAATTCGCCCTTTTGACTGTCCAAACTCGTACAAGCATAAATATTTGCATGGTGCATTTGTCCCCATTAGTGAAGCACGAAGGGGTAATCCACTGTGCCCAGTGCATACATATCTTGGGGGGAATAGAGGAACACTATTATCTACGAAAGATACAACAGCTTTAGCAGTTGCAATTGTAAAATTTGGATCTGCGTGCATGAATGATAAAACAAATGGCACAATTCATTTTGGAATTGCATGTAATGGAGAAATAAAAGGATGTTCTGTGGATTCAAAAGTGTTTGAACGAAGAGTAACCAAATGTATTAGAAAATCTTTTTATGATGGTCAAATAAGCATAGCTTTGAATTGCATACGGCCACCACAGTTTATTGAAGTCATTGGAGAAAATACTTCAAATGAGTCTTTGTATGTCATTGAAGTTGATGTAGTGTCCTCCACAAAGTTTGTTGAGGACTTTGCTTTTTTCTTAAAACCTGCTAATGACGATGAATCTGATAGTCAGCTGTACAGATATGATAAAGAAATGAAATGTCTCAAACCTAGAGAAATAGATTTATACATGAAAGACGAAAAAAATAAATTATATCTTGCAAGAAAAGAGTTGGAGGAAATTCAGTTAAAACATCCAGATGTGAATTGCTTTCAAAGCCTGAAAGACTTTTTATGTTGTGGTAACGAACAGTTTGAACAGTCAATATATCCACTTCTTATTTTGAACACTGTGAATGAGCATGAAAACGAAAATTTCGAATTTATGAAACATATTCAGTGGCGAGCTGTCTTTGATTTCAACAAGCACATGGAAAACGGAAATGTCCGGGAATATTTGGAAAAAAATCATGGAATGGTGTTTAACGTAAATTTTATCGAGGATTTTGACCCTAAGAAAATGAAAGAAAGTACAATGAAGCAGACAATAGAAAACTTGAAATCTACATCATTACCAAATTGGATATACTGCAATGGACCAACAAAAGAATGCAGCTTTATAGACGATCCTACTCAGTGGAAAATGGAACGGAGTGGTAGTTTCAGGAAAGCAATCGAATTTTATGTAGACAATATACCGCAAGGTAGAGGTAGAGTTCTTATCCCTTTATTTTGCAACGAAAACAGCTTACTTGTCGAAGCGGCCGAAGAATTTTTTATTAAATTTAGAAACAGTTGTTTGATAATAACTGAGAGTGAAACAATGTCTTGCGGTTTAAGAGAAGATTTGCATAGACGAAATGTTTTTACATCCAATTCTAACATTGACAACTATTTTTTGATTGGCCTCCCTTGGAAGCAAGTAAATGAAGCAGTTTTTCGCTTTTCACCAAAGACACCAAACCCTGATGATGTAGAATTGCAACGTTCAACTGGAGTACCATTAAGAGTGCCAATAGTGTTTAAACGAGAATTGTGTGATCTAGGAATACTTGCATTTAATGAATGTTGTGCAATAAGGCAAATGGACGATGAAACAAAAGAACAATTTAGGAGGCTTAATGGGGAGAACTTTTACAGGGGCAATACAGTGTCTTGGCCTAATTTTTATTTCTCGGACCAGGTTTTACAGCGTTATGTTCACACGAGACTCGTTGAATATATACTGGAAGAAGCAAAAGCTCTGGGCAATTTTAACCAGCCCGTTAGAGAAGTTGTAATATACCATCAACCAGGTGCGGGAGGAAGCACAACAGGTAGGCACATTTTATGGACCTTGAAGGACAGGTTTCGTTGCTGTGTAGTTGAGAATATTACAAAACAGACTACTGCACAAATAAATCGCTTAAGATTGTATGGAGAAGACAACATTAATCAAATAAATCCAGTAATTGTTTTACTTGATATTGACGACGAAGAAGCAGTAGCAAGATTACACGACGAATTAAATGTAGAAAGTCGAAAGCACAATTGTCAAGTTTACTGCGTTTTACTAATTTGTTGTCGAGTGTCTGAAATACCATGGACAAAAATACCTGCAAAGGTTTTTCTACAACAACGACTTACTGATCATGAATTAGATTGGTTCAATGAGAAATATAAACATATGGTAGAAATTCACAAAAACGAAAGAGGTTGTGACCCCAATACACTACTGTCTTTTAACATCATGAAGGAAAATTTCAATATGACAGCTATTAGTAAATATGTCAAAACATATGTACAGGATCCCTTATTGACGAAGGAGCATAAGTTCTTGCTTAAATATTTGTCAATTCTAAATCACTATGACATTAGATTTCAACCAGTTCCTATCAACTGCTTTGATCCTATAATGGGTAATTTGAATTGGCCTCTTCATTTGCCACAGTCTATCAAAGTATTAGTTAATCCAGTTCCAGTACATGGAGTTAGTGGAATTATACCTTGTATAAGAATAACAAACTATTTGTTGTCCCTTCCTGTGCTAAATGCGGTTTTAGAGCTTAGCAAAGAATTGGATTCGGATGAGTTTAGCTTTACAATAGGAGAAGTAGCAAAGGAATTGTTGCAATCGAAACTCATCAACCAATTTTCAGGATCCGAGGTTAATAAAAAGTTTGAAAGAATTCTTGCAGACATTGTTAAAAAACGGTCGTTTTCCCATTCTGGAGAAAAACCAAAGCCCTTCAGTTTACTTATTATGACCCTATTTGATGCGAAGGATTATGATTCATCAATAGACATAATTGAGAGAATCTATGAAATTACTGACGATCCATTTGTAGCCCAACAACTAGCAAGATTCCATGCTGAAATCGGTAACTGGGAAAATGCGCACAATGCTATTGAGCAAGCAATGAAACAGAAACATGATAATGCATATCTTAATCACACTTGTGGACAAATATATAAAATGCAATTTGAAATTATCTGCAAAGATACTACCAACTTCCAGGAGGACGATATAATGCATGCCCTCTGGATAGCTCAGAAATCACAGTTTTACTTCAGAGAGGCGCAACGAATCACTAGAACTGAAAACATATCACCGCAAAATCCAGCTGGATTTGATGGAGAGATTCGACTTTCAATTGAATTACTAAAAACATTTTGCATTCCAGATGTAGTAAATATATGCCAAAGGCGAATGCATGCTATGTCAATAAAAAAAACTGCGATGACCGACTGTGCTTGCAAATTTGTTAACGGACTTGGCGAAAGTACTTTAAGCGCAATAGAATCCTTACAGACAGAGATTTTCAGAATGCAAGTAAACCCATTTCAGCTGCATAGTGACTATGTGACATCTCTTCTTGAAAATAAGCAAATACAACAGTACAAGAAAGATTTTCACAAGTATTTCAACAGAAGTATGCGAAAACAGACACATGAAAAACCACCAATTTCTTCGTTCATCGATGCAACAGAGGCTAAAACTGAAACCCTTTCGAATGTTGCTAAGATTTACGAGTCTCGTTTTGGACTTGGTTCTAACCATTCTAACCAACAAAATAGAATTTTTCTAGCTGCTTCTGTTGAATTAGCTCTACGGGATATACCAATTCATCCAAATCATGCATTACAATTACTGAAATGTAGCAGATATTTTTACGAAAAGTTATCAAATGTAAGTTTCACTTGTACATTAGAGGCTCATCTGATGATAGCATTACTACACTGGCCATTGGAAACAAAGGTACAGTTACGTGAAAGTCTTTGTTCGCATTCAGTGCTGATCAATGTACTTGAATCATGGAAACAAATAATAGATGAAAAACCAACAAAAACAAAAAATGTTGATAAAATGATCTGCTTTCTTTCAAAAGACGATAAATTTCCATGTGTTATAAGAGCAGACAATATCTCAAAGAGTAATCTTTATACCATTTTAGGAACAGTGTGTTCAAACGGTTTTGATATTGATATCAAACCATATACCTTTCGTACTGAAAATATACCACCAATTAGAATTCAACTATTGAATCAGGTTAAGCTTTCTTCAATGTGGAATAAGCCTGCAGAAGTGTTTCTAGGCTTTGGCCTATATGGCCCAAAAGCAGATTTACTTGACAATGTTCCGACAAGTGCCATAAGCAACTCACCTAGAAATCGAATAGATCTGAAAAGTCCTTCCCCAAGCAGTATCAATGAAAAATGTATCAAATCAAAGGAAAAGACACAAAAAGGAAACACAAAGGAACGAGGTAGAAAAAAACCACAACAACAAGTTGGTAGACACGCCGGAAACCGTTTTCCATTTTTTACACGTGTACCAAATGTTCCAACAAGTATGGGACCACAATATGGAGTTCCATTTCCTATTTCACCTTTGTCGCCTACACCCTTGAGATATCAAATGAATCCTTTTATGCACTCGCAACAGTCACAACAAGGAAATATGGGAATTTTTCCAGGTCAATCAAGGTGTAAGTATAGACACACGCACATATTTGTTCATGGTCAATTAAAGTAAAACACGTGTTATAAGAGCAGACAATATCTCAAAGAGTATTCTTTATACCATCAAAGAAACAGTGTGTTTAAACGATTTTGATATTGATATCAGTAGCACAGGTTAACCTTGTTACTCAGTGTCTTATTCAAATGAAAGTATCATATTTTGATAAAATTCTGTAATTGCAATACAATTCATACAATTGTCAATGCACATAAGGGATGCGGTAGTAAATTTGAAGACTGTAAGAAAACTTTGATTTTGTCATAATTATTGTGAACAGGACCTATCAGAACTTTATTTTTCATGAAGATCAAACATACCTTTGAGCTGTTATTATTGAATAATTCGTGTTCTGTAATACCTTCACTTTATAAACTGTTCTAATAACATAGAGTAAATATTATCAAAATAAAAAAAACCAACAAAATGAGGGGTCAGAATTTTTTTTAGACTAATAATGAATATAGAACTCACCTTTGTAAGGATAGGCAAAGGAACCATGCTATAGTCAATTGTCTTTGGAAAACATGATATTATCTACATTTGTTATGTTTTCCAAGTCCATGAAATGTTTTTATTTTCCATATTTCAAATGAAGTTATATTTACGATCTGTATTCTAGGATATATATTTGGCATTTTATAATTTTTATTTTTATTTCGGTAACTATGCTCAAAATAGAAATTCATTTCAAAAAATATGAAACGACCTTGTCCGATGAAGGTTATGGGTGCTATAAACAGTTTCGTATAAAAAACTAGGTGTTATTCCCTGACTAAAAATAGCCAAGGAGGGAAATCCCTTTTTATTTACATAATTGGTGAAAAAATATCATGTTTTTTTTTAATTTGATGGTAAAAATTAGTTAGATAGCTTTCAATTAAAACAGGCTGAATGATTAAAATATTTTTTAGAATTAGATTAAATATACATGTTTTAAGGGTAGACAACACTGTAAACTTCCTGGTTTTTTTTTTGGTAGTGAAAATTGAAAACTTATTTGTAGCTACTGTAGCTCTTTCCGAAGCAGGCGAACGTACCCTGAAGCGAGAATGTTTTAAAAGACCAGGTAAAAATCTATGAAATTCATACAGTTTTGTTTATCTGAAATGTGCCTGTATCATGCCTTCATGGGTGTGCACATGACTTGATTTCAGGTTTTTCATGTTGAGATTGGGCATTTTTTTTCATTTTCTCTGGATAGAACTTTTTTATTATGTTAAAATTACACTTTATTTTTATGTCAATATAAACTAGAGAAAATTCTGATTCAAGTGATATCTAGTTTCATACACGTATCTTTATTAACAATACCACCACTAAGGGTCACTTATGCATGGTCCCTCAAAATATGATGTCATATACAAAAACTATTGATTACAACCTATATATTCAATCATGTGTTGTGCGCACGGAAATCTGTACGATCGTTTTATTTTTAAATCTATTGAATATACCGAAAATCATATTTCTTCATTGGATGAATAAACAATGAAACTTTTGTTCTATTTTTAGATTACAGACCAAGGCCACAATAAGCGAGACTGCACATTGATATACTGTATATAAGCTCTTGTAGCGTACAAAAATATTCATATTAGAAATGTACAGTTATGTGACTACATCAAAACGAAACACAAAATGCTTATTTGTGAGATTGTATTTATCAGGTTTATTTTATGTTTAATTTTTTCCTCTCATATATAATATAAATTTGGCAATATTTCCATCTTAATAAAATAACATTTCAACAGCTCCTACATATGAAGTACATATCTCCCAGTCGCTAAGAAATTCCAGGGATTACATGTCCGTTTAAGGCTTCATTGATAGAGAGTTTGGGATTACAAGAAATATCTTGTGCAATGGTTCATAATGGTATAGTTTAAGCCATCTATTCTGAAACTTAAAAGACTCCATCATATGATTTGGTTGACAGTTACAAAATATCAGAGTAAAAGATGACCACTGATATTTTCCCTTTGTCAAAGCTACTATCCCGTTATTTTCCTGGTTTATTCCCTCATCGAATCCGACTATCTTCAGATTTTTAAATGTTTGTAGCAACACGAAGGGTGTCTATAATGGAGCAGAGGCTACTTATCCCTCCTCTCTAGTTTTCTGTGTAGTGCTTTGCATGAGGACTGTTGTCTATTGTTTTTCTTTTGACCATATTATTGTCCGTGTTTCTTTGTCGTACGAATTTTTTTATTGTCTCTTAGTATCTATTTGTTATTGTGTTCCCTCAATTATCATCTCATTGAAACCTTCCTTATAAAAACAATAAGACGTGGTATGATTGCCAATGGGCACCTAATCTACCAGACCAAAAGGACGTATAAAAGTATTAACAAAAATACCGAGTTCTAAGTTACATTCAAAAAGGGGGAAGTGTCCTTTTCGATTGTTGTTGAGGATTGTATTATATATTATATATAGATATAAGAAGATGTGGTATGAGTGCCATTGAGACAACTCTCCATCCATGTCACAATTTGTAAAAGTAAACCATTATATGTCAAAGTACGGCCTTCAACACGGAGCATTGGCTCACACCGAACAGCAAGCTATAAAGGGCCCCACAAATGACTAGTGTAAAACCATTCAAACAGGACAACCAACGGTCTAATCTATATAAAAAAAAACGAGAAACGAGAAATACTTATGAACCACATCAACAAACGACAACCACTGAACAACAGGTTCCCGACTTAGGACAGGTGCAAACAAATGCAGCGGGTTTAAACGTTTTAACAGGCGCCAACCTTCACTCTAACCTGAAATAATAGTATAACATCACAACATAGAAAGACACACTATAGAATATCAATTGAAATGGCTTAACTCAATCAAAAGATATATTATCAAAAACAAGTAAACATACACTGAACGAATAAACTTGATCTATGACACAATGTAAATACGAAATCACTAAAAAAAGGGAGTGGGATGTAAAACAATATCAGAAAGACAACCATAACCTTGGACAAAATGCCGTTAAATAAAAAAACGTACACAGGTAAATAAAAATAATTTTGTTGTAAGGAGTACATGGAGTACGGAAATATTTTTTACAAAATAAATAAATTTGTTGTTCATAGTACGAGAACAGAAGTGAAAATTTATCGTCATTCTAAATACTCATCAAAGTTGTTATATATTAGAAATAGTGAGATGAGATAAAACACAAAATAAGTAAACATTAAATAACAAAAATGCATTACAAATTGTATCAACAGGTCAAATTAAAACGAAAGTACGATTTGAGAGTACTCGCAGTTACTAAAAGCTAGTTAAAAGCCAAAAACAATTAATAATAAAAAAAAAAATCATGCATCAGAGACTAAAATCAACTAAAACACATCCCAGTGATTTAGTGTTTTAACGTCATGGCCAGTCAAAGAAGACATGACTTGTGCAATGTCAAAATAAAAGTATCGACAGGCAGTAGGATAGTTAGGATTTAACCATTTAATAAATATGTATAATGTTATATATAGAAAAAGTAATCTAAACAAGTCTAAATTGAAAACAACGTTCAAACCTATATGATTGCGTTGGATAAAAACCGCAATTTTTATACGTGTTCATGCAAAACAAATTTCTTGGTAGAGGGGTCTAAATACAGCACAAACAACATTTTCCAAAAGACCAAAAGAGTGAAAAAGTATATTTTAACAAAGCGCACTTGACTAGCAGGTCGAACAACTGATGAACCCTGCTGACTGCCATTGGCGATTGCCAAATAAACAGATCACAGATGTAACAAAATGGATCTTAATTATAAATTTATTACCAAACATAAAACAATAAACTTGCGGAAAAGATGGTATACCGCAAACATAAGGTGCAAAAATGTTTACACCATATCCGGATTTCGACAATTAATGTCTCTTCAGTGATGTCAGGAATCGAAACGGTATTTTGAAGGCCATATTATTTACCTCAATTTAGGATAGACTTTTGAATTTTGAAAGAGCCGAAATAGGATGAACGGATCATATAAACCCGAAGCAAATATAATACAAGCCCAAACGAAAAAATATAAACAAGTCTAAATTGAAAACAACGTTCAAACCTATATGATTGCGTTGAATAAAAACTTGTTTTTATCCAACGCAATCATATAGGTCTGAACGTTGGTTTTCATTCAACGCAATCATATAGGTTTCAAGAGTCTATCCTAAATTGAGGTAAATTATATGGCCTTCCAAATACCGTTTCGATTCCTAACATCACTGAAGAGACATTAATTGTCGAAATCCAGATATGCTGTACAAATTTTTGCACCTCATGTTTGCGGTATACCATCTTTTCCTCAAGTTTATTGTTTTATGTTTGGTAATAAATTTATAATTAAGATCCATTTTGTTACATCTGTGATCCGTTTATTTGGCAATCGCCAATGGCAGTCAGCAGGGTTTAAGAACATCAGTTGTTCGACCTGCTAGTCAAATGCGCTTTTTCACTCTTTTGGTCTTTTGAAAAATGTTGTGTGTGCTGTATTTAGACCCCTCTACCAAGAAATTTGTTTTTCATGCACACTTATAAAAATTGCTGTTTTATCCAACGCAATCATATAGGTTTGAACGTTGTTTTCAATTTAGACTTGTTTAGATTTTTTCGTTTGGGCTTGTATTATATTTGCCTTCGGGTTTATATGATCCGTTCATCCTATTTCGACTCTTTCAAAATTCAAGAGTCTATCCTAAATTGAGGTAAATTATATGGCCTTCCAAATACCGTTTCGATTCCTAACATCACTGAAGAGACATTAATTGTCGAAATCCAGATATGGTGTACAAATTTTTGCACCTCATGTTTGCGGTATACCATCTTTTCCTCAAGTTTATTGTTTTATGTTTGGTAATAAATTTATAATTAAGATACATTTTGTTACATCTGTGATCCGTTTATTTGGCAATTGCCAATGGCAGTCAGCAGAGCTAAGAACATCAGTTGTTCGACCTGCTAGTCAAATGCGCTTTGTTAAAATATACTTTTTTCACTCTTTTGGTCTTTTGAAAAAGTAATCTATATATAGAAAATGAACGTGGATGTGTATTTATACATCCCAAAAAAAAAAAACCATTTGAAAAGAATACAAATTTAGTTATGTTTTAATTTGTTGATGACAAAATCGATATTTGTGCCAATGTAAACAATATTCAAAGATCTAATTACAATATTGATAAGATAACCTTTACTAATAAGTTTGTTTAAAGGTTCAGTGAGTTTACACGGATCACATAGTGATTTCCGCGCTTTTAGTTCAATATTACTGTAAAATTTAGGACGATAAATACCGCTTTCAATATTTAATAAGTTTTCTACAGGTACAGCCATATTTACTAATCAAATCTTTGTATCTATGAAAGAATTTAGTAAAAGTTTTAAGTAATTTATGGTAACGAACTCCCTGACTTAATAATTTACCAGTGATACATTGATTACGCATCACTACACACACGGGCATAACGAACGAGTTGGGATATAAAAACAACGTATGATGGAGCCAAAGGAACATCGCCGTCTAAAAAAGGAAAATTAACAATAGGGAATGAAAAATCGTCTCTTTTGTCGTAAATTTTAGTATGGAGTTTCCCTTTAGAAATTGAAATGTCTAAATCTAGAAAAGGACAACTACTGCTGTTTATGTCAGATTTGGTTAAAATAAGTTCCTTTGGGTAAATTTCGGTAGTATATTTAGAGAACTCTGGATTATTTAACAAAAAAATATCATCAAGATAACGGTAGGTATTGTTCAATGTATCAACAAAATGTAACAATGGCGTGTCTTTACTGAGTTTGGTCATAAACTGAGATTCATAGCAATACAGGAATAAATGTGCTAATAAAGGGGCGCAATTAGTGCCCATAGGAATACCTACTAGGTAACCAGTACATAGTCGGGACTTTCAAATGTTCGGAAGAGGCTTTAAGCTGGGTAGTGGCAGTGATATGCTTGTTTACAATTTGACTATCTGTGGAGCGTACGGACCTGAATGTAGAAGAATTGATAATTTCGTTTTGGAGAACTTCCGTGTAGTATATGCGTCACACCACCACTACATTATTGGCTGTTTTGTCTGCTGGTACGCACACAAACCGCTTTGCCAGTACTTGGAGTTTATTTTTTATTCTAGAAATGGATATATCATGGACCCTTTTATTAATTTCAGAATTGTTTTCAAAATGAGATATACGAATATCAACAGTATTCATAATTTTATTCAAATAACTGTATAGAGATTTTTTATCAGATTTTTCACGTTACACCAATTTTTACAGTAGGTAGACAGAGCGTCTTTAATGACTTGACGACACTGTTTCCAATCTATAATACTTAGTAGATGGAGGACGTTTTTTGGGCCTTTTTTAAGAAAAGTTTTGACCTTACGGTCTTCGACGATGTTGAGATCTCCTGTAATGACATGACCATAGGGAACATATCTAAAACTAAATGTTTCACAGTCTCAAGTGGAAGGTGCATTATTTTCTATATTGACGTCTGATGTTACTGACGTATGATTAGAAATCAAACTTCTGCTGTTTTTTTTTATAAGAATACGAAATAATAGGTGGTTCTGTATTATCAAAATATGGAGGTATTTGGCTATGGATGGTAGAGTCATTGAATATACTAGATAAGTTAATAAAATCAATACCTCTATTTATATATTTTAGATAATTTAAGAAAATGCCGTTTATGATTTTCAGGTTTATCGATACTAGGAAACAGCCTGTGATGACAAAAGGC